CTCTCTCTCTCTCTCTCTCTCTGCCTCTGTCTCTGGCTCTGTCTCTCTTAAACCGTACGAAAAACAAGACGAAATGAGAGAAAAAGGGGCAGGACATCACCATAACAACAAAGGTGTTGCGTTACATTCTTCCACATGTCTAACCCCATTCACTAAAGCCACACAAACGAGGAAAACGTCATTGTTTTATACGTTCGTTATTTTTCTGCGTGACCAGATTAGAAACATGAGGCTTACCTGACGTATTCCGGGCAACGGCAATGATCACCAAGATAACCGCCAGGAAGAATCGTCTGCTGTGCTCCATTTTGATGAGAGTTACTCCCCTTTGCTGGATGTCATGCGCACTCAGCCTTGATGGCGTTTGGATAATCCGAGTGAGCCAACCGGAAACGGTTTCTGGTAATCTGGGAACGCCTCGAATAGATCTAGAAAGAACAAAAGGTGTGGGTGAACGAGAGGAGTCGGTGGGGAGAAAATCTATTAAACAGAGAGGATGCTAAAATTTATGAATTATTCAGTCATGATGGAGTGTGTGTAGGAATTAGATACCAGTAATGGGCCTCTTTCGTGACTTGTCAATTATTCAGTCTTGATTTTATTAAGTGTGTTCATTTGCCCATACGCGTTTCATATCTGCTGTATAGTTCGGTCAAACTTTGGCATTTTAAAACTGTTTTTAAACAGACAGTTGTACGCGTTGACATATACTATGATATTTTATTTTTCATTTTTCTTCGACTCTTCACTCGTAGAAAAATAAGCACACACATACACACACACACACACACACACACACACACACACACACACGCACACACACACATACACACACACACTGACAACAGAGCGAAGATCTTGGAGAACATGTAATATGTGGGGTTTAAGGAGGAGGGGATGGGCGTTTGAGATAATAAGAGCTTCAGGAAGCCTGTTGTTTGAGGATAGCCGGCTCCATAGGGCGAGGTGAGGGGTGAGGGAGAGAGAGAGAGAAGACAGACAGACAGACAGACAGACAGACAGGGAAAGGGGGACAGAAATACAGGCAGGCAGACAGAGACAGTAAGAAAAAGAGTAAGAGGATGGGTATACAGTGATGGTGAAATGAGGTGACAACAGCACACACACACACACA